GTTTTATTTATTTATTTTTTTTTCAAGTTTATCGCATTAATTTCTATGATTTTTTTTAAAATTCTAGAAACAACAAAGAGCAGTAAATAGACAATTATCTTGTTTATTAACTTGAAATAAGCTCTGAAATTTGGGAATGAATCCAAATATCGTGTATAACTTTAACATTTGAGTGATTTATAGAAAGAAAATGCTTTTGTTTATTTATTTTCAGACGTTTAAAGCTAAGAAATACAATTAAATTTACATTAATTTATGATAAAGTTTACAATCGATAAAGGAAAATCAGGAATTTATAGTCTATATAATAAGGAAAACGTAGAAATCCAATAATTTTTTTTCTTTTTCTAAAGGATTTTTTTTTCTTTAATACTTCTAAAAATATCATAACAACTTAAAGCATTTAAAATAATATTTTATAAATATATTTTTATTTTACTTATTCGTCTTTTATTATTGTTATAAAGAATGTTTTTAGTCGCTTAAAAATCATAAATTTTTTAAACAGTTCGCATAAAGACTGCAGGCAACAACAGAACGACTCGTCAACACTTTTTACTTTCCAGATTTTTACAAAACAAGAAAATCAGTGTTAAAGAGATTTTCATTTAATTTTTTTTTGTGGTTTATTCCCACTTTACCCTCGGGAAATTATCACTTACAACATATTCCACATTCAGTTTATATCCGGAAAAAACTTTTCTTCTCTACCTCTTTACGTCACAAAATATAAATATCTAAAACAATTTTAAAATATAGAAAATGAAGATTATTTTTTCATACATAAAATTAATTATAAATAATTTATTAAATCGACGATAATCGTGTACGTTTTTTTTTCTTGTTTTACAGTGCTCGTCATCCACATCAAAAGGACATACACTGTTAAGTCGTTTAATAATTTTTTTTTTAAAAAAACTAAAAAGGTTATCTACTTCCCATAAAGGGGAAGAGAAAAAATATCAAACATAGCATAAACACCAGATGTAAGATTTGTGCAGATTAAAGTTAACAGCGATACCAGTTTGGCGTGAAAGAATCTCAAGAGACTTTTTTGAGGATAAAAAACACGCATATTTATAAAGAAAACAAACATTTTTGTGACAAATTTCGAAACGTCACAAGCTTTAAATCCTCAAGGCGTTCGNATCTTGATCGTCGCCATTGAACAGAATTTAACTGTCGACCATTATCAACAATAAAATACATTTCTACAAAAAGGAAACTCTTTCAAACTTGAACCGAGAACTTTTAACTGATTGAAAATTCAATCAATTCAATAAAATTTGTTGTGTTTTTAAAATGTTTTGCACCAAAACATTTAAAAAAACACACAACAGAAATCTATTAAGTGAATTGAAAATCAACTAGTTTAAATATGATTACAGTTCGAGAACATTATAAGAGAGAGATTCGGGTCAAAATAAAGTTAAAAAAATTTGAGGGAATTTTTTAATGATCTAAAAATGATTTAACTCGATTTTCAAGTATCTAAATATATTTAGTTTGAGCAACAGAATAATCGATAAAGTTAAATCAAAACCCACTGTTTTAACAATTATTACGTTAAGTTTTTGACAAATTTAAACTAAAGAAATGCGTGTAATATCAAAATTTACCATTTATATATTAGCTTATTTAAATTATTTAATATCCATAAGCAATCGCCAGAGTTTAATCTGTATTGTTTCATTTCTCACCAAAAAAAAAAATTCAAATATTTTTAGAAATTCTATCTTTATTTTAATGATTATAATTTATTATTATTATTTATTATGTCGTAAAATAATTTACAATATACCACACAAAATTAATATATACATAAGTTAAATTAATTCAAAACACTCGATTACATGTTAACATAAAAAAAAATTTAAATAATCATTTGTGTGGAACCAGAGAGTAGAGTGTGGTCCTTTTGCTCCTTAGATGGGACTTTTTGTCTTTTTTAAATAAATGAAATACGTAAAATTTTTCTTTATTAACAAACTATTTTTGTTAATAAAGATAACATTAATTTATACAGACCATAAATTTTTTCTGGGCCCGGAAAATAATCTCCAGTTTCCCTCTCTCCATTCGGATTATTTGGAGCAAAGCGACCCTTGGGTGATCTGCTGAGGGAAGATACCTCCCGGGAGGACTTTTATGGGAAATTGGCCCCATTTAAAAGTTATAAACTTGAAGAAAACCAGAAAATCTCCACGTGGTCACCCGTTGGTCGTGCCTGAACCCACGACTAACCAACTACCAGTGTTCGGTGTTTTATCCACTCCGCCACTGATGGGCTCCCTTTCTCCTTAGCCCTGGAATTGGGGAAAATTTGCAATTCATTTTTTCAACTATGTAAGTTACAAATTATTTAATAATACAACATTGTCCAGCAATAATTTTTTTGTCATCAGTTTCTAAGTATTTTAATTACACAGATAATTTAAATTATAAATGTCTACATTTGTAAGGTTAATTAAATGTTTTCTTTGATAGGAAAGGATATGCATTTCGCCTCTTAATTATGTACTTAATTTTTTTTTATTTAAGTTTACCTCCTTTTTATTCTAGCACACGTTGTTATACTATTATAAATGTTTTCTGTAATCGTAAGTTGTATTTCAAGTAAATACTTTTAATATTTTATGGCTATTAAATATCTTATTGTAATTCCACAGAATATGTAGCATAGGAAAATCTGTAGCATTATACTAAAAAACATTGTTTCTCTATAAATTGACGTAAATAAATTTACTATATAAATATGAATTAACTTTTATAATTTATTTATATTTTAAATAATTTTAAAACGATAAAATATTTTTTGTATTAAATTTAAAGCCTAAAAAACGATTAAAAAGGAGCAGGTTTCTTTTGATCTTAGTCTATTAATCCGCTGATAAATTAGGTTTACTGTATTATATTGGACTTTTATTAGAAAAAAAATATACTCTTAAACACGGAATTTTACTTATAATTTTGTTTAAAATTATGCAAAATGTCTTAAATGATCTTATTTAAACAAAATGAATCTTTAACATTCAATTTGTTGTTGGTAAATTATCATAAGTAACAGCTGTATAAGAATTCTTAGAGGCATCTAATCCTATTATAACCGAGTAGAAATATTTGATACTTTATAAAATTGTTATTAAATAATAATTTAATTCATTATATGATTAAGTAATAAATATAAATTTTAAATTATTATTGAAAGTTTGTTTGATCTAATTTTATAAAATTGCTTTTGTGACATTTTAAAATTCCTTAGAAATAAATGCACTCCCAGACACAATATTTTGATAGTGATTGACATTAAATTTAATTTCCCTCCCAGAATAAATTAAATCTAAATTAAATAAACTTGTTATTTAATCTATTTATAAAATTTCTAACCCATCAAATCTTACGACAAGAGACGATTTTTTAATTTATTACATAAATTGTCCAGATAAAATGTAGAATATTTATAAATTTAAAATAAAATTCGCGAGGAAAAAAAAAATATAATAATAATAGAAAATTTACTGTTAAATATAATTAAATCGAATAATGGGGAGGAAAAAACTTATTATTTAATGTATAAAGTTTAATACGTGTTCAAACTTCATTTGCATTTTAAAAATGTACAATTTTTGCAATTTGCACGATTTTTTCTTGAATTTTTGTCAATGCAAAAATAATATTAATCATAATTTATTACCCATTTAACTTAATTTTAATTAAAATTAAGGAAGTAACATTGTTATAAAATTCGTTTATTTATTAAAAATAAGTACACTTTAATGCACAATTTTTATATCGAGTAAATTATTATTATTTTTTTATTCTCATGAATTTTTAATTTTTAGAATTAATTATGTATTCAATATTAACATCGATCCAACATAAAAATAGATATATAATGTTTTACATTACATTATAAGGAACAATCTCCTTCTCATAATTTAAATATAAAGTGAGTCGTTACATAACAAAGACATATAAAAAAATGTATTATTATTTTTTTTTATATATACGTTTAAAAGATTTATTTCACAAAAATTAAGATTAAATGACGTTATTTTCTTATTTTATAAAAATAATATTTTAAGTAAAAACTTTATGAATTATTTATTTCGATGATTCAAAAAATATTTTTAATATTTTTTCGTGTTTTATGACTCTTTTAGATGATTTTATTTTATATTAATTCTCTTTTATTATTTAATTTCTCTCAAATTGTAATCCTTGTATCATAAATTAAAGATTAATTCTCATTTTTTATTTGAAATTCTTTTTTATTTTTATTATTTTGAGTGGTTAATCTTCAATCAAATTACACAAAGTATTCGATACGTCCGTTGATTTTGTCCGCCTTTAACGAAAGATTTAAAGAAAAAAACTAGGTTTTAAATGCTCATTTCTTTAAATTTTCAGTTTAAAGTGATAAGAAAAATCGTAAATTATATAGTAAAAGTACAGAAATATTTGTAGAGAAGTTCTGAGTAAATTGGGGTCGGTGAACTTTGTCACATTTGCATGAAGAGATTTATTATGCACAATAGTATCATCAAAAGTATCACGTTATGTCGTACATAAAAATACATATGTACCTATAATCAAAATAAGGTAAATCATGATTACGCATAAATAAATAAATAAATGATGCCACGAATATTACAGCTTTGAGAAATAAATTCAATAACAATTTCACACTTACTACTTACGTTTTTATTTATTTTACTCGTTACCAAGTAAATAATAAATGAAAAAACTTTGACTCTACACGAATATTTTTCAATTTTATTAAATACAAATTACTGAAAGTTTTTTTTTTAAACGAAATATAAAATAATATTATAATTACAAGCCCACAACACATAACTTACATCATGAGTATATAAATCTATATACACACCACAACAATAAAAAATATTTATTATTATTAATAAATGTATTATAATATGTAAAATTTTATTTATTATTTATTATATCAATTTTTTATTATTTTTGGATTTTTTTTATAGATTGTACGTCATAAGTTTATTACCAAAGTTACGTTTCTTGGATGATAAATGGATTTCTGTACACGAAAAAGACGAAGCGTACAAATTTGATAATTTATTGAGCAATATATTAAATGTTCTTCGTAAAATGAAAAAATCTACGCTTCAAATATGCCAAAATCAACATAATAATGCAAAAATAGTCTAGCATTATTCTAGAAGATAATTTATAAAAGTAGATACTCCTGCAAGAGATGCATTCTCTGATATTTATTTAATAGCATCTATATCTCACCTTCTGACGCCGTTTTAATGTAATTAAATAATTATTATGTTAATTAATAAAGTAATTTTCTTAAGTAAATAAAGTTTTTTGAATTTTTTTTTTAATCAAAGATAATTTTTTAATCGAATTAAATGCTCTATAACTTAATTCAAAAATGATTTTATATACTATTAAACTGTTTGAATTCGACACGAATTTAATGAAGTATTCAATTTGAATATAGTAATTTAATATTGTTTAAATTCGAATTACTAAAAATCCATAAAAGATCCTTAATTTGTAAAGCGAACATTAATGAATTTTAATTAATTAAAGTTCAAAAACATGATTAAATTAAAATTCTTTTTTTCTCATATTGAAGAGAATGCTTTGGAGATATCATCGAGTTTAATTAATTTTTTGAATTAATTAATTATATAATATTATAATCTGTAGATAAATCTTATAGATTAGATCCTTTATGAATTATTTACTTTAATGTTAATGTATTATATATGAATACATATTCAGGATAAGTCGATACAATGCACTGTTCAATACACAAACTAAATTCAGTCTAATGCTGATATTGAATTATATACAGTATCTTAATATATATATATATATATTAAATATAAAGATTAAAACAAAATAATGTAAAGTATGAGAAAGTAAATTAACTAAATCCTCAAAAACTAGTAAATTTTACAGATATTTTAATTTCTTATCACACTGAATTTGCATCAATTACAGCGATTCATGAAGTAATTTACATAAATTTAAAAAAAGAACAAGTTCTGACTCGTTTTTCAAATAATTAATCAAAATATGAATTTTTCTGTCGTTTAATTTACCATTTAGAATAAGTTACAATGTTTAAAAAGTAAAATATAATTATAAATAAAAGAAAACATTACAAAAATGATGAAAATTTTTAATATTTTCTGTAATAAATATAGATATTTAGTCACAAAATACTCTACTTAATCACAATTTTCTAAACAAACACCTAATAACTGTAATTATAGTTTATGGAGAAAGAAGTTTTGCAGTCAAAATTTATTAGTCACAACTTAATACTTTAAATTATCCAGATCCTTACGAATCGATATAAACCTTGCTGTAGTTATTACTCTTTTTATTATGCTTTTATATAAAGTAAATGCACATTTAAAAAAAAATGAAATTTAGAAAATTTAANTAGTTCTTTGTTTCGCATAACACGGCAATTTTTTTGGACGTAACTATCGTGTTATACGGGGGTTACCTGTATATTTAATCGCCTAAATAATGATTTTAAGCATATTACAAAAAGCAGCACCAATTTTTTTTCCCTAGCTGCTGAATTTTTTAGTAAATTTTTTTTTAAAAAATTGAAACAGCATGCATATCAAATAGATTTTTCCAATAGTTATATAGAGATCTCTGAACACGTACACTTTAATTAATACATTCTAGACCCGGTGAAAAGGAATATATATAATAGGCAGATATAATATTGTTAGAACCACGTACAGAACAGATCTGTATGCATATCAAATAGATTTTCTATGTATCATTAACGGTAATTATCTTGATTTTTATCATTTTTGAACCATTAACCTAAGTAACGCTCGAGTCGGTTTGATTTTTCGACTATTGAGATGTTACTTCCGTGTTCCTATTTGTAGAAAGCTATTTTCATCCTTTAGGGCATTTAGGTAATGTCTTCTTAGCTTCTGATCAGGATTAGGAAGATTAGAAAAGCCTTATTTATAATTTTATGTTATAATATATAATGCACGGATGATAATTTTGTCTGAATCGATTCTCGCATCACCCATCTTGGATAGAAAGAGGAAAGAGTTGTACGGATTAATTTAACCTGATCTTTTGCGAAAAAGTCACGAGGAATTAAAGGATTCGATCCTGGAGCTGAATCCTTAGCTTTTAAAGTCGAATCTTTCTTCTCCTGCAAATTAAAATAAATAAATAAAATAGAAAATTCTCTACATTTTCTATTTTATTGAATAAATATGAACATTTTAAAATTTCCATGTAGTTTAATTATATAAATGTTTAAAATCAAAGCCGTAGCTGAAATTTTACTTGTGAATATTTATCACGTACGTACAAGTAATTATATTTAAAAATTAAATATTTATATTTATAGATATCTTTAATAACTATTTAATTTCTGTTTTAGAAATGAAAAACTGCGATAGACGAGTTCCTATTCTTGTTGAAATATTGTTTAATCAAGCAATGAATTAGCAAGAACAAATAAAGTTTTTGAAAATAGGAGGAAAAATTTTTTAGGAATTGTTACATAAAAACTAAAAGAATTGTTTATAATATTCGAATTTAGAAGATAATATACACGCATAATGTAAAAAATGAAGCATTGTCATAAATAATTTTTCTATTCTTAAGAGGAACATCTTTAGAAAATAGGAAAATAAATAAACTTTATTTCGAGGATATTTTAAATCGTCATACTCACAAGAAAATGGAAGAAACGATTGTGTAATTCTTTCATCTTTCATCATAGATTCATTTTAATCGCACGTCTGATTTGTTTATCTTGTCATCGGCACGTTAATTAGTCTCCTTTACAAATTACTGGTATGGAATATAGACGTACGAGAAGAATTCCTCAATCTTCACTTAATATTATAGATTAGAGCAATAGAAATATTCGAAAATTTAATTAGGAGAAAAAAAATTCTATTTTCGAAACGCTTTTACATTTAACCTATTTAAAAAGTAGATAATTAATAATTATAAATTAATTAAATTTCGTATCAAAACTTAACATTTTAACTCTTTAATATAATTTCGTTTTAAGAGTTGTCTCACTAATGAAGAAAAAATTATAAAAACAAGGAAATTTATATAGATTCTGCCAGGATTTCAATAAAATCGCCTAAAAATATAATAAACTTTTACTTTAAAAAAAAAAATACATTTATTTCCTTACTTTTTTAATGCGTATAAATTATCACTAAAACATTAATTGTTTTTAATCAGTAAATCTACTTAATGATAATGGCTTTGTTTGTTTGTTTGTTTGTTTTCGGGTGTAGACAATTTGAACTTAAAAAAAAAAAAAACTTTACTATAAATTTGTTTCGGTTAGTTTATCCAGAATAAATAAAAAGAAATAAAGAGAATTATCATAAGAAATAGATGTCATCTTATACAGAAAATAGTTTTATGACACGATATATTATCATGGCCATTATAAACGGTAGAGGATCACAGATATGTTTTGTTTTTGGAAACAGAGAGATAAATCGATAAGGAGATAGATATCGAGAACTAATGAATAACTCGTGTATTGCAAATAAACAAAGTAAATTTTTTACATCATCTCCGTATATATTTGATGGAGGATGCTGGAGGATGCTGGAGGATTTATTAGAGGATGGAGAAAATCTAAATATTAGATTTGAATGCAATTAGTTAAATCAATGTTTAGAAAATCTTCACAAGTCTAGAAGTAATATATATATATTTTTTTGAATAGGTTATTTACTGAATATGCTTCTGTTTTATTTTAATAAATATAAATTATTTTATTTTACATAATTAACATTCTTCCTTTACGCTACTCGAATTTATACGACCTATTTTTAATTTGTTAATTTAACTTTTTCCCTAACGTTTAGATATGGGTTCAATATAACATATCTAAATTTATTAAATTGAATTGTGTTGTTTAAGATGTATATTTTCTTTTAAAAATATGTAAGCCTACATAAAATGAATTTATATATACAAATGAATCATAAAGAAAATTTTTTGATTCCTTTAAATTCAATGTAGATCTTCACAAGGTAAACTCCTAGTGTAATAAGTTTCAAGCAATACCTTATTTTCGTAGATTTCATTATAAAAGAAACACGGAAATTTTTCTAAAATACCTGAAATTGATACACAATCGAGTAGAAACAAGGTTAATAATTTCCGTTTCCGGTATCATATTGTTGTATAAATTAATGAATGTCATCGCGAGAAAATAACAATAGAAAAATTATTTTCCTGTGACGAATATTTTTAATCTGTTACATACAAACGTATTCGAAAACGTACATCTAACTGGTTTTGGACCGAGAAACTAGTCGAACCGTGTACAGCATACGATTTAACTATTTTTGGAATTCGTGGAAACTTGTTTTAGAAGTATTAAATTGGATTTGAAAAAAAAATAAACCAATATTTTATTGATAAAACGTATTAAGAAATATAAAAACAAACTCGTATATATGTTATAATATTAAAAAAGCAACTTGAAAATAAATAAAAAAAAAGGTGAATTTTCTTAAATCCTGAACGAATTTAAGTTCATTTGAAAACGAAATTTAAAGTAATTTAAAAAAAAAAAATAGATAAAAATTATGCGGAGAATGTTAAAAAGAACTACCAGAGAAAGTAAAAGTGATAGAGAACTTTCCATTAATTTTAAAAAAATATTTAAATATTCTTGTTTTTTGTGTATGTGTGTCCACAAACATTATGTCTTTTTTCTTATTTAATAAATAACCTGATTGTTTTTAAGCTAGGAACCGCTTCTCTGATTTATTGTTTCAAAATTTAGACCAGTACAATTCATGCCAAATTTAAGTTTATTGAAAAAAATAGTAAAAAATATTAATTGATGATACGGATGAAAGGCGAATTCAAAGAAAGAAAAAGTAAAAGAAACCTAAATAAGTGACTAAAATACAAAAGTAAATAAATAAAATACTTTATTTAAAAACATCGGAGATAAAAAAAAAGAAAATATTTCCGAACTGAAAAGAGGAAGGGAGAAGAAGGAAAGAAAAAAAAAATCTGAAAAGAATCTATTCTCGTTGAAAAGTAAGAAGAGAGAAAGTGAGTAAAGGTGATGAAAAGGTTACTCTTTGGAAATATTTTATAAAAATTATTACTTTTTAATTAAGAAAAGGTAAAGTCGAGTTAATTGTAACATTGCCGACAGGTAATTCAATCTGGAAGTCATTTTGATATACGATAAATAGTTAGAGGTAATCTCTGCATTATACTTTGCATAATTATGACTTATTCAACTA